ATAATAATAATAATAATAATAATGCAGAAAATAAAGAATAATGTTAATTAAAAACAATAAATAAATAAGAAAGAAAGAAAGAAAAGTAGGTAGGTAGACAGACAGACAGACAGATGGAAATAATAATAATAATAATAATAATGCAGAAAATAAAGAATAATGTTTATTAAAATAAATAAATAAATAAATAAATAAGAAAGAAAGAGATGGATGGATGGATGGATGGATGGATGGATGGATGGATGGGAAAGAAAGAGGAAGGAAGGAAGGAAAGATGGATGGATGGATGGATAGATAATGCAGAAAATAAAGAATAATGTGGATGGATGGATGGATAGATAATGCAGAAAATAAAGAATAATGTGGATGGATAGATGGATAGATAATGCAGAAAATAAAGAATAATGTGGATGGATGGATGGATAAATAATGCAGAAAATAAAGAATAATGTGGATGGATGGATGGATGGATGGATAGATAGAAAGAAAGAAAGAAAGAAAAATACTGGGCAAAATTATGAAGAGAAAGATTAATAGTTAATTTTGTCAACATTTAGCAGTAAACTATGACATGGAGTAAAAGCCACACAACTCTAATTTTGATTTTGTTGGACATTTAACGAGTCATGTAATAGAAACTGACTCATACCTTCATTTTCAATGGTGTCCACTGCAGTGTTCACCAGTCGTATCACCGTCACTATAGAGGCTAGGGCATAACCAAGTGTAAAATGCCAGGCAACAATTGAATCAATGATCAAACACTTCAAACAAACATCAAACACTGAATGAAAACCTTACATAAGCATTTCTATAAACCACTATGACCCATTTGTAATCCTCCAGCATCATGAAATCTGCTAAACAGAAGCAAGTGGACCTCTGATGTGTCAGGCTGGCATCTATTTTGTACAGCCGAAGTGATACTACACTACTGAGTCATGATAGCAATGGCGTTTGCAGAGCATATCAAAGGCAGATGGATTGTAATCACTGCACTGACCTATTCAGGATGTCACTTTGTTAAAGCAGGGTAGGGTTATTACTAATCCTCATGATTTCCTTTTGGAAAGATCAGACAACGCAAGTCATCTTAATTAGGTGAATTAATATTTTTTATGTCTTTGAAAGAAGTCTCTTATGCTAAGGCTGCATTAATTTAATGAAAAATACAGCAAAAACAATATATTAATAAGTAATAGTGTGAAATGTTATTACAATTTTTAAATAACTGTTTTTTATTTTAACATTCTTTAACTTGTCATTTATTCCTATGATGGCAAAGCTGAATTTCCAGCAGCCATAATTCCAGTCTCCAGTGTCACATGATCCTTCAGAAATCAGTCTAATATGTTGATTTGCTGTTCAAGAAGCATTTCTTATTATTTTTCACCACTGAAAACAGCTGTGTTGTTTAATGTGTTTGTGTCTTTATGGTCACTTTTGAACAAACTAAAAAATATTTTTTAAGCAAGTGAAAATACTGCCATGTCGAGTCTGAACTACTGGCCCATTTGCATTCACTAAACAGACATCTAATATCCAAAAACCAGACACGCACATACGCACAAACAAAACCGCATTTACAGCTTAATACTCTCTACGGCATAAAAATCTTTCAAATCTGCTAAAGTGAAAGAGCAATAATATCCGTCCTATATTTATCCCAGACTACGCGCTACAAAAGCTAACAACCAGTCCATGACAAATGAATTTCTGCTTGAAGAAAACACTAACAAGACCAAGGTCATCCACTTGAGAACACAAATCGAAGAGAAAACTTACATAGGTAATGCATTTCCACAAGCGGAAGTGTAATAATCACCTTCACATATGTACTAGCTGCCAACCTACATGGCCAGACTGTTAAATATTTTATTAGGAGAAAAGGCTCCTGTTGGCCTATTTCGTGCTACGATACAGCACAGCAGATGGTTCTGATTACTATAATCTGGTTTGTTGTGAAACTATTTTTGAGTCCCTGGTCAATTTTCAAGATATGAAAAATCGCAAGAATGCTGAATATGAAATCATAAAAAATAAATTCATTGTGAAGGGAGATTTGATTAAAACCCAGTTTTTTATATACATTATTGCGATTAACGCATTATGCATAGCATTTATCACAATGTGGATGGATGTTTCTGTTTGAATCTTGAGGATTCACTCTAAATGCTTTACTTTCTCCTTTTGTGTGAAACCCTCGTGTTATCTCTAAGGTAATTACACTCCATCACACATTATTGTAAGATGGATTTTCCAAATGGAGACCGTGGTGCATATGTACAATCTCATCCACACAAAGACTGGCATTTAATTGGCCACGGGGAGTTACGGAGTCACGCTGAAACGCTGCCGTTTTGTCATCCTCCGTTTGATCTGGGATGAGTAGAAAGTGTGTGCGCCAAATCATTACCCTCGGTTCTGTACGCTTCCTCTGCGTCCGCCTGATAACCCCTGTCTTCCCACTCCAGAGCTTGGACTTGATGCTCCATAGCATTATCCTCATCATCGTCCTCTTCCCACGGAGGCTTGCGAATTGGGCTGCGTTCGGACGGGTTCGAGGACAAAGACGGGGGAAGATTGGGCGCCACGCTGCAGACGGCCACACCTCTCCGCGGCATCCCGAGGATGTGTGGCGGATCCGCCTGGAAGGTGCTCATCTGCGGAGGGCAGGAGAGGGTGGCCAGCCCTCCCTCCGTCTTTTCCGTTTCCCCTCGAGGGATTCCCTGGCAGTGGGGAAGCGTGTAGGCTGTGGGCCGCACCATGACCTGCGGCGGCCCTCCTGTGCTGTCGTTCCGGTAGAGGCTGGCGCGACACTCGCCGCTGACCCGTACAGTTTTGAACTCGATGCCCTCGGCTCCCATGCCCGTGTTATGCAGCATGTAGTTGGTCTCTGTGGAGATTCCCACCGCCTCCCCGCGGCTCCAGTCCTTCCGGAGGACTTTTTTGCGGAACGCGGCCAACAGGGTCAGCAGGACCAACACCACAAAGAGCAACACGCCGATGCCGATGATCTCTCCCGGTCCGACGTACGACAGGGCTTCGGCCTGAGTGTCTGGGCCATCCAGAGACGGCTGGCCACAAAATTGACCCTCGAAACCAATGGTGCAGTTACAGTAGAAGGCTCCGAATGTGTTCACACATGCCCCTCCATTCTCACACTCCTCCCTCTCACACTCGTTCACATCCTCGTCGCATCTGTGGACAGAAGGATTGTGTCAGACTGTTGGGAATTAAATACTAGCTTACTATTTACTATATACTGTACAGTATACACTGCATACTATTCTTTAAAGCATTGGTCTCAAACTCAATTCCTGGAGGGCCACAGCTCTGCACATTTTAGCTCCAACCCAAACCAAACACACCCGATCCAGCTAATCAAGCTCTTTAGGATTACTACACTCTTAAAAATAAAGGTGCTTCAAAAGGTTCTTCAAGCGATGCCATAGAAGAACCATTTTTGGTTCCACAAAGAGCCATTCAGTCAAAGGTTCTTTAAAGAACCATCTCTTTCTTACCTTTTTATAATCTGAAGAACCTTCTTTCACCACAAAGAACCTTTTGTCAAACAGAAAGGTTCTTCAGACGTTAAAGGTTCTTTATGGAACCATTTAGACAAAAAGGTTCTTCTATGGCATCGTGAAGCACCTTTATTTTTAAGAGTGTAGAAACTTCCAAGCAGGTGTGAGTTGGACCTGGTTGGAGCTAAACGCTGCAGAGCTGTGGCCCTCCAGGAACTGAGTTGAGACCCCTGCTTTAAAGGAATACTCCAGCAAAAAAAAAATGATTCACCCTTGAACCGTCCTAGATGTATTTGACTTTCTTTTTTAGACAAACAGGTATCGAGTTCTAGATATCTACACTATTGTTCAAAAGTTTGGGGTCAGTAAGATTTTTTGTGTGTTTTTTAAAGAATTCTGTTATGCCCACTGTGGTTGCATTTATTTGATCAAAAATACAGTAAAAAAAAAATTATTAGCATTTAAATTAACTGTTTTTTATTTTGTCAGCATTTATCAGAAATAAAAATATTTTGAAAAGGTCTTTACTATCACTTTTAATCAATTGAATGCATCCTTGCTTACACACTATACACTCTAAACACTATCCCACACTATAAACTGCATGAATAATAAGAATATTGTTATTCTGAACACAGCCTTAGTGTTTCTCTCATTATCTAATTAGTTCTCAGAACCAGAGAGAAAGAGGTTTCTTGTTGCCTTTTAAGATTCATAAATTTTCACATTTAGCTGAATTCCCCTCTGTGCTGCAAACAGCAAATATGTGATGATCTGTTGCTCAGAGAACTCTTTATACGTACCCTTGAGTACGAGAAAGTTCAACGAATCTCTCAAGCGAGCATAAGAGAGCATAATGAGAGGGTTGTTTGTATTGCGTAACGTAATGACACAGCTGGTAAAGCAGAGAAAGTAGTTATGTAGTAGTTATATAAAGCTATTAGATTTTCATTACTTTCTCCCCACTACATAAAAGGACAGAGAGGAAAGGGGCACAGGTCCCAGTAGCCCACTTTTCTCAGTCAGATGTTTAAGTATAGGTTTAGATTTGCCTCTAAAAAAAGAAACAACAGCATCCTCTAGTGGAGAAATAACTGAATGACTGAATAACTGCATAGAAAAAAAAATATTAGAGAAGCCTTAATGGGATTTTTGATGGACTGCTCTAAAATCTGTTCTTTATTTATTAAATGATTTTAGTAATTAGTGAGAAAGGTCTAATTAACACAAGCAAACAACATACCTATTTTACAGTGTCACGTATGCATTCAACCAGCAGTTCAAACAATCAAGGTCTGAGCAAGTGAACGCTAAGTGTAATAATGACTTTCAGAAGAGAGTGTCCTTAAAATAATCTGCTGGTTACCAATTCTGTTTAAATGCAAGATGGCCTTACCAAACAGATTTCAGAAGAAAAACTATTTTTCCTCATAAATTACATTGACTGTTAAACCATTTGATTGCAAAAAAAAAAAGGCCCCTTAAATGTTTTGCTTTTGTTAAGCAAGACTCTATGATTATGTTTTAACAGAAGATAAACATAAAAACCATGTCTGAGCATGGAAAATATAAAAATCATTAGCACAGTTGTGATTGTTTTTGATTGTCAAAAGAAAATATATTGTTTACAAATTTAAAATAAAATAAAACAGCTTTTAATGTTAACCAATCACTTTTTGGTGATTAGAGGCCATATTAACTGTCAAATACAATAAAACCAACTTTTCAAAACATTTCACCTCTACAAACCTCATTTAAAAAAAAAAGATTGTTGACTAATTATATTCAATCAATTACCATATATAGTGTGTGTGTGTGTGTGTATATACTATATATATATATATATATATATATATATATATATATATATATATATATATATATATATATATATATATATATA